TGCAGATTCTAGCTGAAAAATTCAACTATAAGAAAATTGTATTTATATAACATTTACTATTTTTGAAGACTAGTGAGAGTTCTGTAATAATTTTAATTCTTTAAAAAGTAAAAGCTTGTAAAGATATTTTGTTTTTGTTATTAGAAGGAAATACGAAGAGAAAAATTTATTTCTTTCATGGGCATTTGGTAATTTCAGTCTTACTTTGACTGATTTGTAAGCTTGGAATTTACTAACCTGAATTACAGCTCGTTAGCCTCAGAATTTTCAATAGCCAGTATTTCTGATTAACTAAGTTGAAACTTTTATTAGAAACTTTCAGTTGGTGATATTGTGTTACTGAATTCTACAAGATACTATAGTGAGAAAGATTCTACCAACCATTCTGTTTCACTACTTTTTAGTCAAAACTGGGTTTGTTCTTGGTATTCATTAATGAGAATCATTAAGTATTTTGTAGAAGGCCCAAATTAAAGAATAAAGGATTAAAAGTAGATTGACTGACATTCCATACTAATATAAATTGTTTATGCTTTCTTTAAAATTACTAAAAGAACATAAAAGAGAATCTCAGAAGTAGTTTGCTGCTAATATATACATATTTGTAAAAAAAGGTATATTTTGGTTTTGTTAAAACGCTTGTTGACTTTCCTACACTGAACATTTTTTTAATTTGATTTAAAAAATTAATTTGATTTAAAATGTTAATTTTGGGGAAAAAAAAGAAATTGCCAAATTTCCAGATATTTGTAAAATCATACATTTTCATCAACAACACACAAGGGTTTAGAAAGTCTGTCTGTCTTCAAACATAACTATAATGATGATGATAGTATTAATAATAATATCTGTCTTGTTAATTTTATATTTTTCCTTTATGTTTCCATTTTTATTCATCCAGGATTCATTTAGTGAAAGAAATGAATTTGGAATACAACTTACCAAAAACTGAAATTAATCTCAACACTTTGTTTCTAATTCTAGATCCTGTTTTACTAGCATGTTTAATAATAATTTAAAAAATCAATAACAATGCATTTTAAAAATACATGTAGGCCAGGCACGGTGGCTCACACCTGTAATTCCAGTGCTTTGGGAGGCCAAAGTGGGCAAATCACGAGGGCAGGAGTTTCAGACCAGTCTGGCCAACATAGTGAAACCCTGTCTCTACTAAAAATACAAAAGATTGGCCAGCTGCGGTGGTGTGCACGTGTAATCCCAGCTACTCACGAGGCTAAGGCAGGAGAATCACGTGAATCCAGGAGGCAGAGGTTGCAGTGAGCCAACATCATGCCACTGCACCCCAGTCCTGGTGACAGTGAAAGACTCCATCTCAAAGAAAGAAAAAAAGTATAGTACGTTTTACCACCTTATAGAGCTAGTCATTTATTCTACTTCTTTTCAAAAATTTTGCTGGAAAATTTCAAAATTTTACCTAGAAAATATATTTAAATCATAAAATAAGATGTCAGCATACTAATTGAGTTTTAAAAACAATCCTTTTTGCTTGCTTTTTTACTGTAATTGAGTTAATGGCTGACATTAAATTCTCTCTCTGTCTCTGTCTCTCTCTCTCTTCATATATGTGTGTGTGTGTGTACATATATATGTGTGTGTATATATATATATATATATATATATATATGTAGAAAAAGACCGTCAACCCTGAATTTAGGATGCCTATCAGCAATCTCTAGGCCTTCATGTGGAATTTAGCTACAAATACTAACAACCTAATAGTACCGGAGTCTATAATTTCCCAACCCTGAAATCAATCTCTCCTACTTCATCCACCATTTCTTTATTTTTGACAACATATGCTTTGCTCCTTTTCTTCTCTTGTGCATCAGGCCCAGTCTACAAAGGTTGAATCCTGGCTTGTCTGAACCTGTGCGATCCCACAGTCATTCCAATGTGTGAGAAAACGGGTAATGCGAACACTCTGGAGACAGTTTAGTTGCTCCTTATAAAGGTATAAAGGAAAAATAGTAACCTTTTCCTGCCTTTGGGAGTTGTGAAAGAATAAGAAACCTGTAGGTGCTGCAGGGGCCCTCCTGCCATCTCAGGAAAGCTGCGGTGCTGTGTGTGATGGAGAGATGAGAGATGAGGTTCCAGGATCGCTGGTGATGCCACTGGTCTGCTGAGTTGAGCAACCCTGGAGATGCCCAGCCTTGGATCTATGGCTATGTGAGACAATGGTTAAAGGAAAATAAAGCCCTCTAGATCGGATTTCCTGCTATTAGCAACAGACACATCTTCACTGAAATATTCATCCCACACATTTTAGTTCTACCTTATAATGCCACACCACAAATCTCATATAAAATGAGACAAATCATTTCCTCAGCTGAGGAAAAAAGCCTACTTGTTGTAACCCTGGGATCAAACAGAACAGGCATAATTATCAGCTTACTACGTCCCTATAGGATATATATTCTTACATGATTTATATGTCCTTGTACTGCTATGTATGTACAAGTAACATATAACTAAAAGTAAAATATGCATCAAATAAATATTGAATTTGATTGAAAATAACAGTTGTCTCTGACAGTAGAGAAATTATGCTTAAATGATTATTACTTTGAAATAAATCTTTGAATTGATTCTGTACTTTTAGGTTGGACATACTGGATACTGACTCTCAAATGGAACACAATGGCACCCTCCATCTTCTAAATTTGTCTTTGTCTGAAATCTGTACAAGTCCTTTGGGAACACGATATTATTGAAGTCTCTGGAATGAAAAACTTTTATACTAATTTACAGTTACAGATTCACAGTATCGTATACAGGGTTAAGAAAGTGTTCTGATGGACTTGTTAGCTGGTTTCTCATCTCATGTTTGCCAAGTTTGTTGCAGTTTTGATAGTCTATTCTCAGTTTTTATGCATTGCCCTTTCAAATGTTAGGTTAACTTTTTTATTGACAAGTAAAAATTGTATATTTGTTGTACAGCAGGAAGTTTTGATATATGTTTATAGTGTGGAATGTCTAAATCAACCTATTTAACATAATACATTACCTCACATACTTAAGATATATATATATATACCATTATTCTATTGGGAAATAATCTTCCCTTTTTCTTTTCTTTTTATTTTCTGTCCTTGGAGCCAAATGGACAGATAATTTTTAACTCCATGTTTGTGAAAAATTTAATCATGTAACATGTTTGTGGCACAGGGTGAGTACAGACACATGGGAGGTTGTAGGGTTAGGTAAAGAGGAGCACAAAAGTTGACCTTGAGGCATAGACATCAATGCTGGGCCTTCAGGCCAAGCGCAGGAGCTGAGGAAGCCACAAGGGAGGACATTTCTGCAGAGTTGCTGAACCAGTAGCAGCCAGGTCCTGAGAAAGCTCTCTCTTGTGGAAGAACAACAGCCAAGCGTGAAAGCTTTTCATCCTGCAAAGCTGGGCAGAAGGTTCTTCCTTGAATGTGGTCATCTTTCCTTCAGCTCAGGAGTCCTGCAGAGACAGAGGAAAGTGGTGTGTTCAGACCTGGCTGTATCAACAGCGTCTTTTCACATCTTTCAGGGGCTCAGATGAGAACACTGCATGAAGTTGAAAATCAAGCTCCTTAGTCTCCCTGAGCCAACACTATAGCAGAGCACAGGCCTTTTCCGAGTGGAGAGGAGGAGTTTTGGTGTAAATTGTCTGATCACAAACTTGGATCCAAAAGCCTTTTCTATTATTTCTGTCTTGTGCCTTATCACCTCTACCATCATTCCAGGGAAACCAAATCTATTTCTAAAAGAGAATTAAAAGGTATTACCTAATGGCCGAAGTGCAGAACGTCCTAGGAAAATGAGGAAAAGACATATACTTAAAAGATATGGAAGCAAATCTGTCCTCCAGCTCAATGTTCCAGCCCCAGGTCTCCCACCTGGGATTTCTCTAACACCACAACCTACACCAACCAGGGCAGAGAGAAGCAGAAACAGACCATGTGATCCCATGAAGCGTGAAGTGTCTGTCACGGGATCCAGTGTAACTTCATTTGTCTTAGTGGCTCTTTCTTAATTTACTCCAGGATCTCAAACATAAGAACCTCTACTTGTTTACCTTTCTCTTTTCTCCACAGGCCACAAGCTATTATGCTTTGACACTGAGGATTTCTGGATTAGCAGGACACTGGAGGTCTTTTGGGGAATGAAAGGCTTTATCCAGGGCCACCCACATATTGAGAACTAACCTCAGCAAAGCCACATTTTCTCGTCCAGAAAAGCTTATGGAGAGAGCCAGCTACCAAAGGCTCCTCACCTTTCTGATTCCTGAAGTAGATGAACAGCCCTGCACCAAGAAGAGCAGGACCAGCACAAAGCCCCCGACTCCACTCAGCATCTTGCTCTGTGCAGATTCAGACTGTGCTCCTGAGAAAGGAAGCCAGGCTTAGTGATTTTGATCCCAAATTAAACCTCTTTAATTAAGACCTTAAGATTCAGAGCTTTGAAAATGGGCAATAAGGCTGCCCTGCAAAAATTAAAATAACTGGTCATTTCCAGAGAAAAGAAGGTTTTCAAACCACACTGAACTATTACAAAGTTCAGGCATCAAAGTCATTCAAATATTACAGGCTTCATGTAAGGCAAGACTTCAGCATCTGATCAACAGAACATCTGAGACTCAATGAGTTTAAGTACTTTGTCTAGAATGACAGAGCTCATAAAAGGCAGAGCTGAGACTGGACTCCCCTGATGTCAGGAAGGCCCCTACAGTTTTCCTCTTCTCAGTTCACAAGAAACAACTCACAGCAACAGCAGCAGAAACACAGTCTCAGACCCAGAGGAAGGGCCTGGAGCCCAGAGAGGGCAGGTGACTCTGACCTGTGACATTATGGGGCAGGGTTCAAAAGAGGGACAGCCTCTCCTTCCTGTTAGGAATGACTGCTTTTATGGGCTACCACGTATGTCCTAGAAACTATTAAAGGGCTCCCCCCAGTGACCTGGGCTGACGGAGATGAGAACATGGAGCAAATGAAATCTGATGTGGGTGAGGGGAAATCTGACACTCAGGGATTAGCAGAGTCCTCTCCTTGGGTGAGAAATTGATGAAGTCAGAAAGCTGCTCACTCCATTGCACTGTGAGAGAGCTTGTCACACTTGGATGCTCCACTTGGCAGGT